CCCCAGCTCAGTGGGAAGGTGGGCGTGGGCAGGGGACGGGTGTGGGGGGCAGGGGATGAGTGTGAGTGTGGGCAGCTCCTCGTGGGTTTGTCCCTTTAAGTGGAGCTGCCTCCTCTCCGGCTTTGGCACCGAGCCGCTTTCATGTCTCCGACTTCAAAGGCAGCGGATTAAGGGGCTCTTTTATCTGAATGAAACCTTAAGCCTCACTTCCCGGTGGATGGTGAATTCCAGGGTGCTGAATGCCAGGGTGCCGGTGGATTGTGGGGTGCTGGCATCCCTGCTGGTCCCACCCTCCCTGCCAGGGGTGCTCCACAGGGCTGAGGAGGGGTGCTGGGTGCCAGGGTGAGGGGTGCTGGTGGGAGATGGGTGCTGTGTGGGTGGGGGTGCCCAGCCAAGGGAGGGGATGTGGCAGCACTGATGGAATGGTGGTTGGATGGGGGATGGCCTCAAGGCTTTGTAGGGAGGCTGTATCCTTCCCTCTCTGCCACCATGCAGCACCCAGAGACGCCCCCATTGCCGGTCCCTTGCTGGGAGCACTGGGTGCCATCCATGATTCTGGCTGGGGATGTGGCCATGCTGGGTACCAGCACTGCCAGCTGGAGGATTGTGGCCGTGGGCAGGAATGAGCCCAGCCCTGTCCCTACTCTCTTGGGGACACATTTGGGACCCAGTTCCACTGCCGGAGGTGAGTCGGCAGGTGGCCTCGTTAGTGCCTGCCTCTTCCTGCTATTAATATTCCTCTCCAGCATTAATGTGGAATTGCAGCTCGGCCGCTCCTGCTGGCCCTCCTCACCCGGCACTGGGGCCGGACGAGCCTCCGACGTGACGGGAATCGCTGCAGCCATGTGCTCTGCTGGTGGCTGCCGTGGCCAGCCTGGGCACGTGGGCTTGGGGTACCATCAGCCCTGGGCTGGCGTGTCCACTTCCCTCTGGTGACAGACAGAATGCCAGGGCTGGGCGTGCTGGGGATACCTGTGCCCCCACTGGGGGCATTGCTCAGTGAGCAGCTCTTCTCCCCAGCCCATCCCTGCAGCCTTCTGCCCCATCCTTGCTAGTGGGAATTGGGGTTTGGGGATGCCAGCGAGCTCCCCCTCCCTCTTCACGCTCTGCTGATGGCTGCAGAGCCATGCCCAGGGCTGGTGCCCCTGGGGTGACAATGCCCAACCTCTTGTGTTCCGGCTCAGCCAGAGCTGTGTCAGCTGCCACTCAGACGGAATATTTATCCGTTCTGCCAGAGCTACCTTTTAATACAATATTTGTGCCGTGGCCTGGCGATGCTGGGGAGAGCCGAGAGCAGGGAAGTGGCTCACGGTGCCGCAGCATGGATGGCTCAGGGAGGACACAGTCCTCCCTCTGTCCCCATGCAGGAGGATGGCAGTGTCACTGCATCCCTCACTGCAATGTGGGAGCGAGCAGGTCCCTATGGAGCCCTGGTGGGGCAAGGAGAGGAGAGGGCTGCCAGGTGGGGCCTGGCTGGGCTTCCCAGCATTGCACTGGCGCTTGCCGAGCCCCGAGGGGCTGCAGGGATGAAGATGTAGCCGAAGTGTCAGAGCCGCTGCCGCCGGGAAGGCCGGTGGGGTTCTTAGCCTGGAGCCTTTGAAATCGAGAGTGCACTTGGAGCATTGACCGGTGTGAGGCCTAGTTAATTAGTGTTAATAGGTTTGTCATTGTCAAAGCTGTGCCGGGGCGAGCGGCCAGCTGTGGGGGGGCGGCAGGGCTGGGGTCTGCCGCGCTGCCGGCACCGCATCACGACGCTCTCACGGCACCTTCCAAATTGGCTCCATTTGTCACGGCTGATGCAATTCGGCAGAGGGTAACTCGTGCTGGGGGGCGGCAGCATGGAGAGCCGCGTGGGGGGATCTCAGACCGCGGCTCAGGGAGGGGACAGCCCCCAGCCCACCCGCTGTCGTGCCGGGGAGGCGGGCAAGCCGTAGCCCCCCGCACCACCGGCTTGTAGCAGGGGGGTTGTGTAGCCAGGAGCGGACGCCTGCTCCCCTCCCTGCTGGGGCTGGAGCAGACGGATCAGCTGGGCTCTCAGCTGGGCTTTTGATTCCGTGTTAATAAAGTCGGCTGTCAGGCTTTGCAGCTGCTAATCCCTCTGTCTGTGTGCCACGATGGTGAGAGTGGTTCCTGCTAATCAGCCATGGTTTGGTGGCAGGGAAGGGTGATGGGAAGACTGGCCGACGTCGCGCCGACCAGCGGGGTGTCCTGGTGCCTGCCCAGGCTGCTCTGCCACAGCCTTTAAGCCTCCCAAATCCTGATGGCTTTTGAGCATCCGTGTGAGGTGGTGCTGGAGGGGTGCAGACCATCCTGGTGACTGTGCCATGGTGTGCCCAGGAGTGCATGGGGACTTTTCAAAGTGACAGGGGGTCTTGAATCATCTCTGGTTGGCAGTAAAGAATTAAACATCTGTTCACATGGCCCAGCAGCTGTGGCAGAACTTGAAATGCCCCACTATGGCCAGGCCAAAAAAGTCCCTGATAGCTGCTGTGCCTGGCAGTCCCTGGTGCCATGGCTGATGTGCCCAGCAGGTTCCAGTGCCATGCAGTCACTGAGCCCCCTGGCCAGGCAGGTCTGCCATGTGGCATTGAGTGCTGTAGCAAAGCTGGCAGCATCACTAGGAGGTCCCAAAGTGCCATCCTGGGACACTGAGAGGTCAGGATCCAGCCTCAGCTGCACAGTGCTGCAGCTCTGCTGGCCAGTGCTGCCTTCCCTTCTCCCCTTGTCCTTTAAGCATAACCTGGAGACACTGGCAAAGTGGTGCACGCTGTGCAGGGGAATTTAATCACCATCATTAACCACACAACAACATCATTAGGAAGAATGAAGTTCGCACTTCATTGGACATGTTTAAAACCTTCTACCCGGGTGGTGACTGCACGAGGGGGACCGGGCAGGGGAAAATATGTAGGATCTATAGGGCTGGCACCCCCCAGGGCTGGGGTGTGCCAGTGCAGGTGTGGTGCCCACCACTACATGCTTCGTGCCACCTCCTTGTATGCTACAGGGCTCTGTGGCCTGTCCATGGTGAAGAGGGAACAGGCACCATCTGGGTGCAGAACACACCTGGTGGCTTTGCCACCACCATGCATTGGCCCTTGGTTTGCCTTACTTTGGGGTTTTTTGCAGTTACAGGGCCAACAAAGCTGGAATACTCTGGGACATGTCCCTTGGGATGGTGGTGTCGGCTCTGGCACCACCAGTGAGGACAGAGAGGGAGGTCCCCTGAGGGGAGGGGACCCAGCCAGAGATGGCAGCTCCTGGGGGGCTGCAGGGACACCCACCTGTCCCCCTCCTGACCCACTTGCAGAGGCTCAGCAGGGCCCTGTGATTGCCCAGCTGCAGCGGGGCTCTTCCAGCGCCGATTGCAATAAAATTGCAAACTCATTACTTTAATTACGTGCAGCCTTCCTGTGCTAATGAAGTTGGGAGTGTGGTAATGGGGCTTGGTGATGGGCTTCTCCACTAATTAAGCGCATTGTTCTCGACCAGGGCTGCACTCAGCCCCCACAGCCCAGGGCAGCAGCATCCACAGTTGTCCTGGGACAGGCTGGGCTGGGGTGCAGGGCAGGCAGTGGGTGTGCTCATGGGTCTGAAGCAAGGAGCAGTCTGCTCCGTGTCCCTGTTCCCAGCAGGACATGCAGGCACTCCGGCATCGCAGTGCTGGTGCCATCCTCCGGTAGCCTCCTGGTGCCACGACCAGTCACTCTCAGCCTGGTCCCCTCAATCCCCTCCCCACCGAGGGCTGGTGGGGCCAGGCATGATGGACAAGCAGGGGCTGAGGACTCCTCCCTGCTGGGGAGAGTGGCTCTGCTTCATAGCTCGAGGACCAGCACTGTATCATTCACACACTGCCAGGGGACCTCGCGCTCCTGCCAGCAGCAAACACTCTCATTCATCTGTCAAGGGGCAGGGATAAATCAGGACTGCTCCGGCCAACTGCCTGTGCTCAGGTGACAGGGTCTGGCCACCCCATGCTTGGGGACATGAGGGCCTCATGTGTACCTGTCTCTGGCCCAGCATTTTCAGCCCCCAAACTTGTCCCTGGGTCGCTGTCACCTCCATCCTGTGCTGCCCAGGGAAGAGTGGGGCTGGGTGGGTCTGGGGGTCCCAGTGCCTGGGGTCAGGGCCAGGACCTGGCCCACCTGGGCACACATCCTACCAGTGCTGAGCATGGTGCTTTATAAATGGGATTTTGGGAGCCATCTGTTTAAAGAAGGAGATAATGAATTAGGGGAAGATGAGAAAAATGCTAAGGCCCGGCGGTTTTTCAGAATGAGCCCGGGTTTTCCGGACGTAAAAGATGAATAACCTCCCCACGTGTTCAATATTCATGAGCTCCCAGCTGTAGTGAGCGTCTCTGCGCTGGGTGGGGACATCCCCGTCACCGAGTCCTCCCTGCCAGCGCGCTGCTGGGACCCATCCGAGGCTGCGATGACTTCCAGGGACACAAAACACCAGCAAGGACGCTCCCATGGCTGCTCCTTGCTCGCATCCTGGTCCCGTCTGGTTGGTGAGCAGCTCCCCAGCCTGTGTCAGAGGCAGGTGGCTGCTAATTGACATTTCCTTCCTCTGTAGTTTGATGAAAGACTCTGGCGACACCGAACTGATTAAAACATCAAGGGGAGGCCCTCACGCCTGCCTTTGATTTGTCTCGGGAGGTGATTATTGCTCCGCTCCACCAGCCAGCCCAGCCAGAGCCGGTGATCCCGATGCGTGCTGTGCCATCCGGGTGCCCCTTCTGTGGCACCACCGGGCTCCTGCCACCCTTCCACCCTTGTCAGCTGCAGTGGCAGCACTATTGGGTTCCCTCCTCACCAGCCATCATCCCGCAGCATCTTTGCTCAGCTGTGGCTCCTCTCCTGGCAGCCAGAGCAGGAACGTTCCCCACATCTGGGGCAGGGCTCAGCCCTGGCTCTCCGTGCCTGTGGGCCAGTGGCCATGTACCTCCTGGCTGCAGCCCTGCATGCTGGGCAGGGGCCACGGGCACCTCTGCCCTCCTTCCTCCACCGCTGCTATTTCACTTTCTTTCTCTTCACCCCCAGGGACTTTCTCTGGGGTTTGGGCCAATTTGCATACATTTTAATCTATAAAAAATTAAGCGGCGCTGGCTGCCGCTCTGAGTCAGACCTCCCCGTCCTGAATCTTAAGGAGCTGAATAATTTTCCACTTTTGCTGAGATGTGTGGAGTCTGATTCATGTTCATCTCATCACCTCTCATTAGAGGAGGGGGCTGAGGGCTTGAGAGGGTGGGAAGAGCCTTCTCGAACCTTCACTGGCAGCCCCCAGCCCCACGGCGTGGCCATGCAGGCAGTGGAGGAGCCATCCGCCCATGTGGGCCACACTGGCAGCGAGGGATCGTGGGATTTGGGAGCTGGCAGGATTGGTCCGTCTTCTGACACTCCCCAGCTGCATCCCCAACCCTTGGAAAACTGCATGGAATGGGAGATACCCAGGCTGGATGCAGGAGGTGAGGATGGCTTTTCCCCCTCTCTGGGGATGTTCCAGCAGAGCTGCTCCCCTGTCCCCATCCCCGGGTGGTGACAGATAGGCCGGAGCTGTTAATATTCAGCACGCTCC